GGCTGAGTCAACCTTGAGCCGGCGAGATTAGAACCGCCGAACTGCAGATGGCAGTCAGCTGTAGTGGCCTTCAGTACTGCACCCTAACCACTGCGCCACCAAGACCTGGCTGTTCCGGCAGGCCTGGGGCTGTTGATCAATGTCCAGCCCCACCTACACTGAATGGATGATGTGCAATTTTAATTATGTACCCTATTTTTAATTTTAAAATGTTTTTTATCTGTTGTAAGCCGTCCAGAGTCCCTAGGGAGTGGGCGGCATACAAATTTTATTAAAATGGAAATAAATTGGAAATACCTCTTAAAACTGATGAACTTGAAAAAAACCTGTATTATGTAGAAGAATTTGACCCTGAAGTATATAACCACTTAAAGACTCATTCCTCTGCAGGAAGGTTTGGCTTTGGCATTTTGTGTATGCAGGAAGGTGAAATCGAGGTAGATGCCTACATAATAACAGGAAGTTACTTTCATGTTTAATTTTATTTGATTTGAAGGAGGTATGAACATGATGGATTGTACCACTGCTAAGGATGAAATTACTTTTAAAAAAGCCAAACTTGGTTAAAACTTAAAGTAATTCCATCTTTTGGATACTTTTGGAAGAAAAGAAACAGATCACTCAATACCAATTTCTGAATGTGGAATATTGACAAGGAAGGCTAATAAGATACAAATGAAGATTTGTAACCTGAAAAACAGATGTTGAATCTTGAGCATGCTGATTTTATGTTTTAATCACCATATCCATACTGAGTGTTTGTTTTAATCTTTCCCATGAATAAAACATTTTAGGACAAAGAAGGAAATATAGCCCCTTTATTAGGAATTTAATTGAGGAATTAAAAAATCAAAATAGGCATAGAAACTTTGTACTAAACAGACATTATCTCCCACTAGCAAGATTGGAATATAGTGATTGGATTAGGAATTATTACATTATAGAATAGTGATTGTAGAGAGAAATCTGAGGCCATATTGATCCCAAGCACTACAGTCCTTAACATTGGGTCAAAGACTTGAGAATTACACAAAGGTTCTATTTAGGTTATCTACAAATAACTGTTAGACTCTAAAATGCTTTGGAGGTGAGGATATCAAGACCTATTCCTGTTTTAGATGAAAGGAAAGTTAAGGGCATAGTTAATATGCATAGTATGTTTGGCTTTAATCTATTAATCTATTCATTCTGTCCTTAGATAAGCTAAATGAAAATAATTCTGAATGCTTGTTATGTTGAACCCCCAACTTCCAACCAAACCCAGGTGGCTTTGTCCCTAAGGAGGGACTAGAATTTACAGTTTCCCAGTTTCTATCCTGATGCCTTAAAACAGCTACACCAAACCTCCTCTCTCTCACCTTGCTTAGCTTCCTGAGTTAACCAAAAGTCAGTTAAAAGCTGGTACAGCCACTACTAACAGTTTGACTTCTCTAATCAAGGAATCCATATTACAGAAGGAAGGAACATTCATAGCATTCATTGGCTCAATTCCAGAATGATGACAATGAATATAGGTAGTAGATGGTGGTGGCAACGTGACTTGGTAGATATCAGTGGAACTGCAAAACGGTTTTCTTAGTCAATAACCAGCTAGGAGAAACACGTGGCAAGAAGGAAAATATTAACTTGTGAGAGAGGACTAGTTCCCACAGATTCTAGTGCTCTGTGCCTGTTTGAAGAATCTTGGATCTGAATAGTTTCTGCCTCTTTTTACTAGCAGTGTATTCTATTTTTAAGGTCTAGTTTTCTGCACGGAATGAGCAAATGGACATTTTCTATCCAGCAAGTTAGTTAAGGATTATAGGGGAAAGAAAACTGATTTCTCTTTTCTTCCTTTGTAGTCTGTGCAGCAACTGTTGATATACCATCAGGAGATCTTTATTGGTTAACTTGTGACAGAACCAAAATTAAGACTACCACGTTTGTTGGCTTGGTGTCAAAGATCCTCTATCATGCGGCGCTTAAGAATATTATATGGCATCTCTACATAGACTGGCAGAGGGCATCTCTCCTCTGGCTTGAAAGTGGCAAACGCATCCAGTTCCACCCTCTGAAAAGTGGGCTAATCAAGGAAGTGTGGAATGAAACCTGGACAGAAGATACTCCATTAGTTCTGGATATAAGTTCATCCAATTTTTTCTGGACTTCAAAAGACATGGGTAACTGAATTATTATTTACGGAGATTTGGCTAAAATATGAAACACTGTGGAAATGCAGTACAAGCCTACATTTATCTCATTTCAGTTTGATATGCTCCTAGTAGCATGTATTTACATTTGACTAGCTAAAGAACAAGTTAGGTTTGTGGTTAAGAATTAGAATAAGCCGTTTACCCCATCACATCCCTGCATGTTGATTGGGGAATTCTTAAGTCTTAAAGTCACCAGAGTTGAGAAACACTGCTCTAGATACATCTAAGTCACTTTATTACAGCGTTCATGTGAAAATGTTAGATCTGTCAGCTGGTTTGGTCTTTAAAGTTAGACTACTCAATTCATTGCTTCTTGAAGAAGATATACATCTAGAGTATTTGCTTCCACCTGTCACAAAGGGATTCTAACGTCTGCACTCTTTCTATTATCATAGTGCTTAATGTACTGAATGTCATCACCCACCGGAAATATAATCTGAAGCAGGGTTGGTCCCATGAAGTGGCAGCTGCTTATAGGCCTTACCTGGTCACATTCAATGACACATCATTTACGATCTGGAACATGAAGTCAATGGAGGCCTCCACTATGCAAGTAGCTAAAGTAAAAAAGGCACTGTTCGTCTTTGACACAGATTTGAAAAGTGGTAAGCAAGTTCCAGGGAAGTCCCTGCTTTGCCAGTGAATAGTAAGTGATGGCCAGGCAAAAATCTTTACTTGGAGAATGACTTCCAGTTTGACAGTAGGCAGATTGCATTGGTGGCAGCTTGAATTGGTAGCTTTCTATATGCTAAAGCAATTTCTGCAGGATCAGCCTATACCTAAATGTCTCAACGAAGACTGGCAGATACTTAGAGTTGACCTTTGGTTTGGTTTGCCAGATTCCTGGGTTTTTTGCCCTTTGTAGCTCCTGGAAAAGAATAGCATCTTTATAGAACTGTGAGAAGATTAAAAAAAAAAAGCAGACTCAAATTAGAAGGCAACCTACCACTTTGGTTGTGGTCTCGGTTCTTCTAAGTCTCAATTAAAAATTATAGTCATTAAGTTTGAGCCAAGATCCAGCTTCAGGCAATCATGCATGAACTGAAAATGGGATATGTTGCTGCTTGCCTCAAATTGAATAGAAAGTGTCCAGCAGATTAAAGATGGTGTAAAATAGCTGCCCAGTGTTAATAATGCTTTATAAGTGTTCTAGCAGTACAGTTTAGCACTACCACCTCATGGTGGTGGCACCCTAATAAGATAAGTTGCAACGGAAACCAGAGGCAAAAGGTTACAGGAAGGAGTGTTCCATGCATTCTGTCCTCAGAAGACTTAAGTTTATGGTTAGGAAAAAAAGGGTGGATGGGTTTAAGACTCTGGTGGTCACCAGATTCTTTGTATTGGTGATTTGCTTCCTTCCAACAGAGGACTATTTTTGTTATAAAGTTCAAAAAGTTAATATATCTTTTGTCTATTTGGCTGTCTTTAAAGACTAGTTATTTGTTTCTTTGTTTGGTTGTTAGTGCTTTCAAGTCAGATCTGAAATTGACCAGACATGTCTGCAGGATTTTGGGCAAGATTTTCATAAGTGGTTTGTCATTGCTAAGGTTCAAAATCATACAGCCAGCTTCTGTATCTAAGACAGAGCTAGAACTCATGGTCTCTTAGTTTCTTTCCTGGTATTTTTAACCATCATACCAAAAAGCTCTCAATATAGAAACAGGAATGGGAAATGGGTCCATAATGGGCTTTTTGCTAATGTTTCTGCTGTTACCTCATATTAATAATCTTTTAACTTTTACTAGTAACTTTTTAGGAATAATAATTTAGTAATAATTAGAATTATGTACACTGGTAGCTAAAAACTCTTATTACTCCGCTGCAGAACTCTATATAAAAGTAAATTGGATAATTGGTTCACAATCTTAAACCCAAGGACTGTCTTCACTTAGTGTGTAAAATATGTTTTGATTTTACTTAATTTATTTGATATGCAGTGTCTTTATATAATCTACCTTACAGTGATGTAATGTTATAGTTTTACAGCACATTTTAAATAAGAGAAAGCAAGGAGGTTCTTTTTCTTTTAAGTGACTGATCCTTAAAAACCTACAGTAGGGAAAATATTTTCATTCTAATGTGACGTCTGGTAACACCTTTCAATCTTTTGAGGGGGGTTGAAATACTTAAAGGATGATATGACCCAGCGGTGGAATTCCTTTACCTTCCCTACAGGTTAGCAAATGTCTGTACATGTGTACCCCCTTTTGTGTATATGCAGTCCTCGCGCATTACATCGGGGCAGGTGGGTGGAGCCTCCTGCAGCCGCTGCAACCGATTCACCCAAACCAGAGAGAAACAGCTGAATACTACCTCTGATATGACCCCATGTTGGTTAAGCTTTCCTGGGTTTTTAGGCAACTACTCCATTTTTCCATAGAAAAGAAGAAAAATTGTTATCAAATGCAAGAACTATAGTGCTATATAAATACATGAACACACAAAGAGCTGTGAAGTTAACCTTTTTATCTGCAATTCAATGTTTTTTTAGCTGTAATGCAAGTGGTTCCTGTCTCAAATCCAACTGTTAAATGGCCTCATACTACGACTAGAGCAGTTCCACAGATAAAATTGATGACAGTCGTGCCCAGGACTACATCTACCACCTCAACAATGGCACCTATTGTTCTACATACTGCATTTACTACAAAGGCCAAAGTCGTGACACCTCTGGTTTGTGGAAGGGGAGAATTGCTTTGCAAGAATGGAAAAGAGTGTGTCACCCATGAATACATTTGTGATGGGGACCATGATTGTTCAGATGGATCTGATGAAGAGGACTGTTCCCTGTTCTGTAGTAACCCAGGTACTAAGTTCTCACAGTCTGGACACCAAACATTTGAGCAGAGTGGGCTTCTGTTATTTTTATCAGTTTTGTTCTGAGGCATTTTAACATGCAGCTAGTGGTGTGGAGCATAAGGAATAGGCACTGCATTGGCTGCCTGTGTGTTTCAAATGCAATTCAACATTTTGACCTGGATCCAAGATATTTGGGGACCATTTTTTTCTGGGTAGAATCTGTCCATCTTATGCAATTAATCTGCAAAAGGATGTTTTGGATTCCCTCTTGGCAAGGTGTTAGGGAGGTATTTGTAGTTATCAAGCTCTTGGGAATAGTTGCTCCCTTTGGATGGTTCCCACACTTTTGACTTGTAGGAAAGTGATGAGAATTGTCCTTTTTCCACCACATATTGGGAGTTATCTATTACTTGACTACTTGGTGTTAATGTTATTGTTAATTTTAACTTTTTAATTTTTTTGTTGTTGTTTGGGAATTTATTTGTGGACTGCCTATTGAAGTCTATTGAATGGGGAATGATCTAAGTCAAGTAGTAATTAAATAAAACAAATGCAGCATCACATGTTCTTATAGTATAAGAGCAGACAGAGCAACTCTTAACCTAATGAAGTAGACAATCTTGATCAATGTGGTTAAGTCTGCATCAAGGCCAGACTTACTTATGTAAAAGATTGAAATCTGCTCTTACTGAATATGGCAACTGGCTTTGTAAATAGTCCATGCTGAAATCATCTTAATAGGAAAAAGAAAGGACTCTGCAAATATGTAGTGCCTGAATATAGAGCTTATTGTAATGTGTCTCTCTTAAAGGACTCTTCCAGTGCCAGAGTGGTCACAGATGTATAAATGAGAAGTACCAGTGTGATGGGGTGCAACATTGCCCTGACGGCTCTGATGAATCTAGCTGCTGGATGCCAACACCCCTCTGTGCTTTGCGTTGTGATGACAACACTCGCTGTATGCCAGAGAGTTGGTTATGTGATGGGAGCCCAGACTGCTTTGATGAGGCAGATGAAAAAAACTGTGGTAAGCCAGTGCAGGAAAGACAGATATCTAAGAAGGAACAATCGGTTTTTGGATTATTGGTTTTCTAGGCAAGTTGTAGCTGGAATAAACAGGAAATTCTCTGAAATGCATTTGAAGCTACTTGGCTAAATGATTAGGAGGTCAGGGGAAATGCAACATAAATGCTAGCAATACCCATTTCTATTTCTCCTTGTTACTGAATTGGATGAAGACTTGTGGGGGCGGGTCAGTGGCTGGAGGCAGTCAAACTTTGAGGTAGGCTAATAAACATAAATAGAGTCCCAATAAGGTGAGCAACTCTACCTAATGCCCTCTTCACTAGATTATGGTAATGGTCTCTATTTGGGATGCTTTGGAAAAAAGAAATCAACAGGAAGCTACATTTAGGTTGAAGATTCAAAGTATTATGTTGGTTGTATATGTTTTTCTGAGGCAAATTTAAAGTGGTGACATTGACTTACATTGCCTAAATTTCTCAGATTTCTGGAGGAAGCCCTTTTTCCATATCAGGTTCTTAGTTATACGCAGTAAAGACAGCCTTTCCTGTCTCAAGTTAACTTTTTTATTATTTTTGGTAGCCTTGAGTCAGTGTTGACTCTTGGAGACTCTTGGGACTAGTTCCCACATGTTGTTTGGCAAGATTTCAGAAGTGATTTGCCATTGCTTACATCCTAAGGCTGAGAGAGAGTGACTGGCCAAGGCCATCCAGTTTGACTCAAGCGTAAAGTGGGACTAGAACTCACAGTCTCCTGGTTTCTAACCACACCATACACACTATCTCTACCAAATATTTTCCCTCAGCTATTTGGGGGGTGGGGGAAGAAAAGGACACAAAAGCAAAATAAGGCATGATTTGGTTTTTTTCTGCATGTGCCACGAAAGACTCCTCAACAAGTTTAACTGCTACCTGCTCTACGATCACAGACTGCCTTGTGAAAACCACATTTTGAACTTAACAAAAGGCTTGAACTTAACAAAGGGCTTAAGCAGGGACCACCTCAGTTCTAATAACTGACTCATGGCTGAGAGCAGTGGCTTCCTAACTCTTGTTCTGCACTCACATAACTAGGAAATGTGGTTTCTACAAGGTAGTCTGTGATCTTAGAGGAGGGTTAGGGTTAGGCCTCTGGCAGTGAAAAGGAGGCAGGGGGCGACGCAAACATGTGAGGTGAGTCATTGGATGACATTCCCCCCAAATAAGACCTGGTGCCTTTTTTGGTGGGAAGAAATATATAATAAGAATGCGGCCGCGCGAGCGATTGTGGGTGCACCTCGCTTCACCCACGTAACACCTATCCTCCGCGAGCTGCACTGGCTACCTGTTGATCTCCAGGTGCGCTTCAAGGTGCTACTTATCATCTATAAAGCCCCTCATGTAAGTGGGCATCGGTCCATCTGACTCCGTC